GAAGGAAGGAAGGAAGGAAGGAAGGAAGGAAGGAAGGAAGGAAGGAAGGAAGGAAAAAGGCTTCTTATCCAAGCTGAGAGCTTTGGAGAGAGTTGGGGCTTCCAAGGGAGAGGTCCAGGGTTTGGTCAAGTGACTTCATTGCTGCAAGGGCAGGCGGGGAGCCTCAAGATGTTTATGGCTTTCTCAACAGGTTTATCCAACAGCCACGCGGGCCCTGGGCCTTGGGACATGTAGCGGAGTGGCCAGAGTTGGTGCCCTCATCACACCGTTCATCGCACAGGTAAAACAAGGACTCCTCCTAGTGGCAGATCAGTGCTTCCCTTGACCCAAGCCTGTCCCAGGACATGCTGCTAAATCAGGGAGGGCCTTTTGGAGACTTCTTAAAGGAAGGTCTAGCAGTGCAATGACAGAACCTGTATGTTAATGCTACTACCAGGTTTGTCTCATTTCCCAATATTTTTTTTAAAGACACTTCAATAACGCAATTGTGAGGACACACAAAAATGGTTACATATCATGATGAGATTGTCCGCCTTCCCCAACTTGGCACTCTTTAGATCTACTGGACAACAGTTCCCTTAACACAGCCAGCAGGAGCTACAGTTCCCCTTATCTGCACCTCAACTACTTAGACGGCTCTGAGTAGGAAAACACAGTCATTGTCACAATATTATTACAAAGTTCAACAGGCAAACTGTCCAAACTAACAGCAGCCCAAAAGCCTTGCTTGCAACCTGCCACTGAGGGGGTAGAAGAGGGCAGGAATCCAGCCTAGTTTAACTAACCCCTTGGAAGATTTGACCAAGCCCCGGGGGTCCTTTTAGGTCTGAACCCTGGCAAGAGCAACATCCTTTGCTTACTTTCTTCTTCCCCCGCTTCCAGGTGATGCTGGAGTCTTCGGTCTATTTGACACTGGTAGTTTATAGCGGGTGCTGCATCTTGGCAGCCCTGGCCTCCTGTTTGCTGCCCATCGAAACCAGAGGCCGCGGCCTGCAGGAATCCACCCACAAGGAGTGGGGGCAGGAGATGTTTGGGCGTGGTGTTCCCCAGTCAAACTCTGGCTCTCAGGGGTGATTGCCCAACCCGGAGGAAGTCAACACTCCCAACACCTGAGAAGTGCAATATCTTGTTACCATCCTGTGTCCCAAAGAAAGGATGGTCAACCTGTCTTGGATCCTTTGTTGCTTGCATCCTCACCACCCCCAAATGCAAGGAGAGGTATTCGATCTGGGAGATGAAAGTGTGTGTGCGTGTATTTGTGTGTGTGTGTTGAGGAGGAATGTGATATAACCATGGAAGGAACTGGCTCTAAATTTCTGCTAAGTTTTTCATGGTGGACATGGACAACATGAAAACCAGGCTTAGTTTTTGTTGCCAAGTGAGTCTTTCCATATCACACAAGCAATTACCATGCTTTCATGTGACTCAAAGGACTCCATTCTTCACAAGATGTCTCATGTCTTCAAGCCTGAGACGCAAACGGGTTCATATGTATGTGCACTCATTCCTAGTGTAGCTCACAGTCATAGACACTTGTGAATTGATCATCAGCCTTGCACTCTTTCAGTCACCATGAACTATCAAGGCCCACAAACCTTCACTAATTTAGCTGAATCTCCTTGGCAACTGGAATTGTGAGGGTAGACAGGGACTCTGATAAATGATGTTCCTTTCACTGATGGAGAGCTTCCTTGGATATTGAAGTGAGTCCTGCAAAAAAGGAAATGCATTTGGAAACACAGCATGTGGTTATGGCTGCCCTATTTCAAAAGGGAGGTTGTGCAGCAGGAAAAAGACTGCCAAAATGATTCAAAGACTAGAGTGTTTTCCTCATGGGGCAACTAGAGGAGAAAACATGTATACGTTCACAAAATGATGCATGGTGTGAAAATAACACGGAAAGATTTTCTCTCTTTCTCAGTCATAGAATCAGGTTCATCCATGATCTAGTTTGACTGGGCAGAATCTGCTCCGTAACATGGAACAGGAGCAGATTCTGCCCGGTCAAACTAGATCACTTCTTCATGCAAGTCATAATGTTGATGGTCAGTGTTGGTTCATATCCACATTCACCCACAGAGAGGTCTAGGAATGGGTATAAGTCCTGGTGGTGGTCATAGGGAACTCCACAGCCAAAGACAGTCTGCACCATCCAGCTTACCATCCTCTTTCTGTCACTGGGCACCCCACAAATGCCAAAGGTTTATAGACAGGAGAAGGAGGGGGCCACCTGTCCGGATATTCCTCCTCCCTCCTTATGTTCAGAGGCATTCTGCCTTTGAACTGGAGCAACTATCTATCTCTCATGACTAGTAGCCTTTGACTGGCTCAGCTAATGTGAGAAACATCATCTGGGCATCATATCTGGATTGGGAAGCCTCAGATGGTATTTAAGGAGGGTGCTCTTTTATAGCTATGGTGTGTGCGTGTGCGTGTGTGCGCGTGTGTGCACAGGCACATACAGGCAACTTCTAACATGTTTAGAGCTAAGAGGGCTTCTACTATGACGGTTTCAATTATAATGCACAAGAAATTCAAGCAGCTTTTTGATGGTTATCTTGAGAGATGTCCATCAGTGGCTTTCTGGATTCTGGGTATTTAAAAAAAATTTCCCCACCAGTCTTCTTTACGTTATATTTACGAAGTGCTACGTAAAAGTGTATGGAAGTTCTCTTAGCTGTACGGATTATTTGTACAGATAGACCAGCTTTTTGTTGAACAGTGATGATCAAAAAAAGGACACTCTTCCAAACTGAATCATGTACTATTTAAATTGGTTAGATTTCTCCCTGATGATACAAACCAAGTTGAATTTTGTAAGCTTCTGACTGTTGAGCTGGAAATCTATGCTGTCACTTCTTCCTTTCTGACATAAGTTTTGGCCTACCCATATTCAAGGAACATTTTAATACCAGAAATTCACCAATGTATGTAACAAATGCTTCCAAAGATAGGGCTCTAAACACATAAAGGACTGTTGGTATGTTCATTAAAAAAGAACAAGAAGCAAAAATGCCATTTGACTGACCCTCAATTGTGGTATTTGGGATTCTGTTATCCAGTTCCTTAACGTGCAAAGCTTTGGGGAGAGTTTGCTGTATATGCTGTGTTGAATGATATTTGTATTCTTCAATGTTGAAGTGGGGGGGTGGATATTATTTAAATGTCTGCTATGTTTGAATGTACAGTTTCTAACTGCCATGTGTGTTCTCAAGATTTCTGTATACTGAGCTTCTGGTACTATATTCTTCTGTCTGTTAATTACACACGATTAGGTAGTTCAATTCCACACTGGATATTTTATGTTGAATAAATGAATAGTTTTCATAAGAAGAAGGATTATGACAGTTTGAGGCTATTCTCACTCCCTCAGTGACAGGAATTATGTCCACCCTAGAAAGCATCCACTATCAGGCTGAAAACTCACCACAGTTCTAGTCCTTAGATCTTGGTCTTCCTGGTTCCCTTCCTGAAACCTGTAGCTGGAGTTGGAAACCCCAGTCAGAAGCCCTGGAGAAGAGCTGCCGCTGGTGGAGAATTGGAATCAGTGGAAAGCAGCTGGCAAGGTTCCCTGGGGCTGGCCAGGGACTGCCCAGAACAAGGGAAGGGTCTTCTTCTGCCTCATTGATCAGCATTCTGGCTCTGCTGACACCGGTCACTTCCTTTTCCTCTTCCCCTCTAAACTGCAAGGGAAGGTCCTCACTTGGGTAGCTCCAGCTTGCAATACATCTATGGAAACCTCCCCAAGTGTGTTGTGGATGTATCAGATACTGATCATTTCAGCAGTTGGCCCGTTCATCCTGATTTATTCAGATGGGCAATCTCACTCTACGTACTTGACTGGATACTCACAAAGCTGAGCACCTCTGAAGAGATAAAAAAGGGACTGGCTAAGAAAGAAACAAGTAAGCATGAATAAAGACTCAGTCAAATATGCTTGCATGATATTTTGACAAGTTTTAATAGAGGACAATTCCACTAGAAACCAGAAGCAAAGAGTATGTGAATGGAGAAGCAGATGTATTTGTCATTTGAGAAGAAAAGGTGGAAGCGTTTTCAGATGGTTGTTTGCCCTCTGCTTGAACACATTGGCTCATCTCCTCCCTATGAATAATCTGTGAAAAAACCTTGAGGTATATCTCTTAGGAATCTGGGCAATTGATGTTCCAAATTTTCCATTTGCAACTCCCCATGTTTTCACATCACCATTTCTGACATTTTTTGTACCAAAAAACCCAAATCAAGATGAAAGAAAAGATGGAATAGCTCCACAAATCTTTTTCAGTCTAGTCTTGGAACACCTCAACACCCCCAAATGGCAGTTGTATTTACTCTGCATATGCAGCCAAGGTTCTTTAGTGAGGACCCCAGTTAAATACTCTTAAGAACAGGAGTTGGATTCCCAAGTTCTGCAAGATTAGCTCCTCTTTGCAAGATGGAAGGAAGAAAAATAGATGTACATAGAAAAGTTTCCTAAATTTTTGCCACCTGCTCAAAGGTTGGCCCTAGGTGGCTTGGTCAACTTCTGGCCTTCTAGGATCTTCCCAAATATTTTGGCTGCTTCCATGGCACACCCCCAGTGAATGGTGAGCCCAAAACCACCATGGCCGTAGTTGTGAATCACCTGAAAGAGAAAGAACGGAAAGTTTAAAGCAGAGAAGCAGATGAGATGCAAGAATCAGAATATATAAAATCTCCTGCAATCACTTTCATTCAGAAAAATGGGTACCTCAGATTGGAGCGTTCCATGGCGAACAGTCTCGTGTTCCAACCGAACTTTAGAGCGCGCTGGACGTAAACCGGTCCATTCTTCTAGTATCGTGGCTTTCTGGAAGAATTACATTCAGCAACTTATTCTCAGAGGCTGGCCCCAGAGGTTATTTCTCCAATGCTTCCTCAGTCTGTGAGGCACTAAAAACCCTGGATGAGCTGCCATGGGGACTTTTTTCCCTGCCTAGGGGAATAGGGAGAACCCAAGTGTTTCTCGCAACAGTCTTGACCCATCTTGGCCAGTTTGGGTGAGCTGATCTACCTGGAGGCTGGGAATCAACCTGCAACATCCTTCCCAAATGTTCCTGTGGTCTTGTGGACTGTTCTTTGTACTCCAGTTCCCCAGCTGAAAGGTACCCCCCAATGTCACTGCACGGCTCCTGCAAAAAACAGAGGAGGGGATGAGCAGTCAGTCTTAAACTATTTTAAGTAAGAATGGTGCTAAGCAGATAGGACTGAGGACCTGACATCCACCCACTTTCAGGATGGACCTCCTTCCCCAGTCTGTTGTCCTCCAGGTGTGTTGTGTTACAGTTCTCATCATACTGAACCAGTGTAGCCAGAGTCCCCACCCACTGGAAGCCACCAAGTTAAAGGAAGCTGGGGATCAAACTGTGTTCTCACTGTAGGATGTCAGCAGAAGATGGTGGGAACCTCCCCCCAATCTTAAGCATACTGGATCACGGGATTCCAAGAGGGAAAACAGCTTGATCAGAGGAGATGCAGCTGCAACTTCTCTGACTATAGTCCCCCTTTCCACCTTGGGTTCCTCCTTGATAATTCCTCCACTGTCAACTGCATTTTCCTCACCCGGGTATGATGTAGGGCTCCTTGTACATCCCAGCTTCAAGGTTATGGGTGATGATGAAGTGCTTCACCCAGGGGGCTTCAACCTAGAGATCCAAAACAAGCATGGAGAAGAGAAGAACAGGAGAGAGCTGGATGTGGCCCTGGCCTAGCACCCAAAGGCATGGCCTGAGGAAAGGCAAGATAAGTCTCCTGCTTCCCCAGGATTTCTCTGCTTTTCCTGATTTGCTGTAACAAGCAGCAGTTAGTGAAGAAGAGTTGTTTGTTTACTGAAACGGCTGATGGAGCTGCCCATCTCACAGCAGTACCTCTGTCCAGCAGAAGAAGCGTGCCTCTACCCTCCGGTTTGTCTCTAGAATTGAGGGCCTTTTCTGAAGGTTAAGACCAGGCTTCCTCAATGTCTGGCATCCAAATGTGCTGTCCCCACAGGGCGGATAACAACTTGCATCCTCCAGCCCTGTTGGCCACTTCCCAACTCCCCCCAAAGCCAGAAACAGGCCTCACCTTGATGATCTGTCCTCGGGCTGGGCGCAGCTCAGGGTCAGGCTGTAGCTCCCCAGCACGAACCCCAGTACAATTGACAATCACGTCCACACCCTGAGCTGTCAGCTAACAGAAGAGAGTAAGTGGAATCATTCACCATCTTGCTTTGCAGAAATACGAGACCCACCCGGTCTGCCTAGAGCGACCTTCCCAACTTGGTGCCCTCCAGATGTGCTGGATTTCAATTTCCATCCCTCTCAGCCAGTTCTATGTACATCCCAACTCACCTCCTCGAAGGACTTGATTTTCTGATTGAAGAACTGGACCCTCCGTGAAGTTAACCTTTTAAGAGCAATGGAGGATTGTCAGCAAAAGACCAATTCCCCCCGTTTGACAGACCCGCACGTTGGCTCTGGGATTTGGGAGGAGAGACTCAACGGGACCACTGCCAATGAAGACACTCAGGTGCCCCTTTCTTCTGAATGTAAGTGGGAGATTAACTGCTCCCCAGATTTGCAAAAGCATCCTCTGTGGGGTGCATTAGCTCATTGGTAAGTTGTTCCCAACCTGCCCCTTTTGGCACGTTTTGGGGGAGGGGGGTGTTCTGCAGCGGGAAGCCTCAAAGGTCAGAAATTCCGCCCTGCCTCTGTGCCGGATGAGTTGGGCTCCCAGAGGAAATGCCGTGACCACAGCAGCCAAGTCACTCCTAGCCTGGCCAGGGCTGCACATTTCCCTGGGATCCTCTATGCAGGGCCCCTTGGCTGAGGATTTTCACTGCCCTTTCCTATGCCAACTGACAGCCTTCCAGGATTGCTTAAACACAGCCAAAACGAACCACCGTGATCAGAGAGACACTCTGCACACCCAGGGAACCTCCAAGATTCCAGAAGGATGAAAGAACAGGGGGAAAATGGTACAAAACTTAAAACTGGTAGCCAGGCAGACATCTCTGAGAAACTCAGAAGCAGGGCTTGAAGGCAACTGGTCTACCTTTCTCTGCCCACAAGATATAATGCCTCCGACCATGGAAGACTGGTGATAGCCAGCTGTTATTAGCTGCTGAATGACAATGGTTCTAATTGATCTTTAAAGACCATAACGTGGATTAAAGATTTAATAAAAGGCCCCAACCGCTTTTCCCAGCCACCTGCTCTGACGTTATAAAAGTAAAATCCAAACTACCTAAAACTCAAAGAGTTGTCAAATGTGGGGAGCAAGAGGCAGCAGAAAATTAAGGCTCATACATACTGGTTTATAAGCCAGGTTAGATAGCTTTTGCCCTCCAACATCAAGGCCGTGTTAAACCAACCGTAGCTGAAATTAAGAAAAAAGAAGACAAAGTATGGATGAGGAAGCATAACTATGTGATAAAATGAAAAAAAAAAGTCATCCAAATCTAAACTCAGACGTTGGCTAGGATTTCAACTTCGATAGTTTTCTCTCCTGAATCACATGAGCTGTGTTCACAACACATGTTCATCTATCAGGCCAAAGCCTAGAAGCATTCATACAACATACTGAACTTCTTAAAACTTAGTCAAGTTTGGTTGTTTTTGCTGGTTTGCATGTTGCGTGGACCCAGACAATTTGGTTAGTTTATGGCTCAATGTATTGCACAAACCTAGAAAACAGGTTAATTCACCATCTGGGTAAAACACGTTTGCTCTTCACTGATTACAGTTATTCCTTTCCAGTTCTTAGAACAAGAACCACCCCCACCCTGAGAATTACAGCCAATATCCTACTGCAGATAAGAGTCACGGACTCTGCTTGCACGAATCCACCACTTCCGTGCCCAGCTTCCTCCTCCTTCGAATGGTTCTGATTCTGAACCCACCTAATGCTACTCCTGTCCTGCTTGTGTCTACCATGTTCCCCAAATCCAAGAAGGGAAGGGGCTGTTCGATACCTGTAGCCTGGGAACAGCTCAAGCTCCTTCTGGGACAAGTTCCTAAATCCCAAGACAATGTGTTTCCAAGACGGATCCTGCGGAGAAAGATGCATTTCAGTCCCATAGATGGGACGAGGGAGAAACAGAATCTCACCCAAGTGCAAAATAAAGGCGTCTTGAACCAGAAGCCTTGGCAATACGGCCCCTTGCTCTCTGGGAGGACAGAAAATGCTAGCAGTCAAAACCTCTCCCTCTGTGCAGGATTTCCAAGGCAAGGTGCAGGTCGAACATGTTTGGCAGACAGCGCCCATGCTCTGCTTCAAGGCCTCCAGGGAAGGTTAGTCCACCGAGCCCCAAGGTTGCCCCTTCTAGTGTTTCTCACGCTCCTGAAAAGGAAGCCTCTCCTTGTGTTTACCTGAAACATTCTTCTCTGCCACTCCCACCTCTGTAGCACAGAGGTTACCTTTGCTTCTGTGGGTCTTTCAGATATTTGAAGACAACATAATTTCTCCTTCTATTCTCCTTTTCTCCATGGTAAACACACCTACCTCTTTCACTTGTTCCTGATAGAACCCTGTTTCCAGAACTCTCATCAGCTCATTTGATCTTCTATGGGCCCCCTCTAAAGTTTCCTACCCATTGGAAGCCTTCTCGTTCCTTGCATTGCAAGGGGGAAGGAACAGGTCTTTCCAAGGAACAAGTGAGATCAGGAAACATTTGAAAGCAGAAGTCCACGTGAGTCTCCCAAAACCTTCTTTATGCTTTATTCCAGACTCTCCTTCCCAAGGAGAACCAGCCTTAATGGAGAAAACTGCTCTGAGATCTTTACAGTCAACTACCTACAGGCGCTGGTTGGGTGAAGAGATTGTATCCGGAGATTAGAAACAGCCCCATTTCCTTGGCTTCTGGGGAATTAACGTGTTGCAGTAGATAATCGAAAGACTCTTTGTTCCAGATCCTGCAATATTAAAAGAGAGAAGATCGGACATCTTCCTTCTATTTGAGCTCTAGCCAATTGCAACTGAGAACTGATGGCAAGTTGAAGGCTGCAGAGAAGTACAGCCGGGATGTATGTGGGACAATGGTTTTATAGGAGGAACTACTTCCGCAAGTTGGCAGAGATCTTCCTCAATCAGCAGACTGCGTATAGTTTTTGTCCCCCGGGGAAAAAAAACCACTGCCTTATTGTTCACAAGTTTCCCCTAACATTTAACTCACTGTACGCTTTACTCTTTGCTGAGGAATCCCTGAAGAACATAGGAAGGGTTTGACACGCGTTCCCCCCAGCTCTTACGTTTCTTGAGCGTTTCCTTTGTCATACAGGTAGGGCTGCCAAAGGCCTGCTGCCCCATCGCTGGTCGTACGAGGGGTGTATTCATCAGCGTAGACCTCTATCTGCAGTGGCTGATCTGCAGAGTGGTATCGATCGTGGATGCAAAGGGCCGTGGACAGTCCAATCACCCCAGCTCCGATCACGGCTACGCGCATGGCAGAGGCTGGAAGGGGCGAAAAGAGCAACCATCTTGCACACCTAAAAATAACACGTCCTAAAGAACTGCATCACGTTTTTCTTATCGGGGGTGGGGGGTAAAATGGGTCCTGTGCGTTTCTTACTGCGGTTTTGCTGTCCGCATCAGGGTGGGCCACTCATGGGGTCTCGACAGGCGAGAGTGAAGACAAACACGCAGG